TTTAAAAAAATATTGTACCAATATAAAAACAAAAATATTTATATTTAAACTTACCACCATGAGAAAAATTTTAAAACTTCAGTTACAGATTGATTGAAGCCTTACCTGAGGAGACTTGGAATGTAATAGAAATTTGGCTAATATCACACACACAAAATTTGGACATATTTTGACAATGTATCAAAAATAATTCCCTAATACTGGAATCATCATCAAAGAGGAAATATTTCAATTTGAAAACAATTGGAAATATTTGAAAACTAATGGAAATAAACCCCATATAAATTAATGAAACTAGCGTTTATCTTTGTGTTTTTTATTGGGCGCCATTTAAATTAAGGAAATCTCAATGTTTATTTGGGAATTGAAACCATTTCGAATGAAAATAAATATATGAAACCATATACATGTATATGTAGTAATAATTAGAAATCATCATGTTGGGCGCCACTTAAATCGAGGGACACCTTATCTGAGGTGTTTTTGAATGTCATTCTTTAGTGTGGATATTTGAAATGGCAATGTATTTGAAATTTGTTGGTTCTCAAATAAACATTCCGATTGGAATAATATTTTAATCCAGAGTTTATTGTTGTGTGTGGAAAGTAGAAAAATATTGGCCCATGTTAAATCACAGAAATCCAAATGTTTAATTAGCAATTGGATTGAAGCCATTTAGAATAAAAAATATATATGCAACCATATTAATGTAGTTGTGTCAATAATTAGGAATATGCAATTCATTACACAAAGTTGGGCGCCACTTAAATCAAGGGAGTCATCATTGTATTTTGCAAATTTAATAGTAATAATTTTGGATTGCAAATATAAATAAAACAGAATACATTTATTCATGTCAAAAATTACAGATATAAAATTTGTTTATATAAATACGGACAAAAACTTAAAAAAAAACATAAATCAAAGAAGGCCAAATGTAAAATTGATCAGGACAAACAGTTCAAAATATTTAAAATTTTACATAAATATTTTCAGTGGAATATATCAATCTATATTCCTTACACCGAGTTGGGTGCCAACTTAATCAAAGGAGCCCGAATGACCCAAATGACCGATAAATACTAAATAAAACCTGCATTGAGACATTGTTATTGTTATTAATTTTATATATGTTGAGATAAGAAGTTGGGCGCCACTTAAAGTCAATCCATAAAATAATGCAATGGTAGTGCCACGATATGAGAGATGTCTATTATTTTCAATCTATACCACACATTTTAACATAAGGTATATATTTACTGATAGGCAGTATGTCCAATAGAAGATAAACCAATTGTTTAATTCGACCACAACCTTGAAAAATATAATATATCTTGTAACACAATTTAAAAAAAAAAATCTATATATCCTCAATATAGCCAAAACATGGGCGTTGGGTTCTTTCAAAAGCTTCCTATATTCACAGATCCCCTAAATTGTCGAGCTATATTGTCCGGAATATTTGACAGCACGAATGCAACTTAATCATTATATTTTTTTGTGAAAATACAGTATAGTAATATGACTAAATGTAGGATTGTTTCAGCTGATATTTGAAGGCTCAAAGTGCGACATTCAGCACTGGAAATTCGAGCACAGAATAATCCGATTATTGGATCCTAAAAGTCTTATTGAAAAATAAATAAAACCGAGTTTCCTTGTTTGTCGCCACATGTGAAGCATTTTGGACCATTATTAATATCCACGCACCAAATGGAAGTACCTATATACCGAGTTCCAGTAGTAACTTCAAGCTCTTACTACTCACTACTTTAGGCAAATAAAAAGTAGTTTGTAAAACTGAAAATTCCCCAATTCAGATGGAGATCTTCGAATCTATTTAGTCTGCAACATTCAAGCATAATACAACGGCGTTGAGCCTATAAATTAAGCTAATTATACGCTCGTATTGGCCTGATACCACTGATATTTCATCATTAGAGTTTCGTTAGGATTTCGGCGAAGAAGACTTTTAAGAAATTCTTCTTTTGAACAATTCATACCATTGGCTGCACAGTTGGGACTACATTTCTATGATTTTTCCAATTCACGATCTGTGCAGTCTGCTTGACCCTCTAATACCTCATCATTAGAGTTTCCTTAGGTTTCAGCGAAGAAGTCCTCCATACGAAGAAATCTTCCAAAAGAAGACTATTTTTCTCATGAAATGCACTGATGTGACTGCATTTGAATGTGTTCCCCAATTCGTATTGACCAGCCTTTTTCCGATGTTGATCCCACATCGTACGCTGTTTCTACACCCTCGGAGCCAGAGCCCACTAATAGGTTATCACTAGAGTTTTGCTAAGGTTTCAGCGATAGCTTTAGTAACTTTGTGGTCATACGAAGAAATCCTTCAAAATATCAGCAATTGAAAAATTTTAAACAAATCGATGGGCTGACAAATCCGAGCACTACTAATATTGCCTTCAAGTTTTTGGGCTCACTTCTGATGGTCTTTATAATCATCCTGGCGAAAAGGATACCTTGTTGACCTCTTATTATGCCATAGACTGAACCGTGGCGCGAACATCGTGATCTCTAAATCTAAATACAACGCTGTAGAAAAAAATCCCCAATACTGCTAGTCGCCACTGTAAGAAATTTGACTAGAAATCTCCTCATGACTCCAATAGAGCAGCATCTTCTTCACCACCCCATCATTTGAATGATTGAGATTTGGTCGGAACATCGTTAATGATGTTCAACTCTTCAAAAAACATCCGGACTATTATCTTATGGATAAAGATCTATCAGTACCAGTTTCTAATGCAAAATATCAAATTTAACTCCTCCCGTTAGAAATTTGTTCGAAGCTATTATCAATACCGATATTTCATGTGAAAATTGAATTGACAAATTTAGTTGATATCGATTAAGAATGGTTCCCTTAGATATATAAGTTATACTTTCCCAACCTTCTTGCCCATGTTGATAATTTTTCCTTTTTAATTTAAAAAATTAAAATATAAAATTGGAAATTAAATTGAAATCATTTCGAATAATAAATACACATGAAAACAATGTAAATATAGTTATGTCAATAATTAGAAATGTACAATTCTTTACGCCATGTTGGGCGCCACTTACATAATATAGGTTATAATAGGTTATACTTTCCCAATACCAAATGTGATGTTTGATACAACAACAAAAAATCCGTTGACTTATCCTCCTAAATAAATCAGAACCCTTCTGCTTTAAAATGCATTAAAAATAAAAATAATGTAATCCTTTCCCCGATAATATCTGGCATGTAAACAACTACCTTCTGCTGACATTTCTCAAAAATCTTTTTTTCTAAAGTCCTTTAATTTTGTTTTTGTATAAAATTTCAATGTCAACTACTGCTCTCTACTTCCACTAGCAACCATAACCAACCTTACCTTGTTCCTTAGTTTATGGTACAAAACAAAAAATTTTCTAATTAAATTGAATATAAAAAACACGTTCAGTCCTAGGACCGACTGTGTGTCTGTGTGTCCTGAGAGAGCAACCGTTTTCCAAAATAAATAACAACTCACCCTTTGTGGGCTTATTTTTATGGCAAAAAATAGGCTTTAAGCACATGATTTAGCTGGAACAACAAAAAAAAATCCCCTCTCCTGGTAAATAGGTATAACCACCACCATTTCATGGGACACGTTTTACAATAACCAGACGACAGCGAACGACAACGAAGACAACAATGTCACAATCAGAAAATACCAACAACCAACCCCACTGCCAATTGTTTTGTTTGAAATGGAATTTATTTTTTGTCACCCCATTCCTAACAAACAATCATCATCTCCTAAACGAAATGCGACACAAGCGAATCGAATAGGAAAAAATATTTTACAAATGCCAAGAAAACAAAAACATTAGTCACTGCTATTGTCGACCATGTAAGGCCATGTGACGTGGACTTTAGAAACTACCCCCTTTACATCCCCTAAATAAATTATCGACCGATACAAGAGGGGTCTGTCAGCAAACCAGCCATACATCTATCCATCCAGCTAGCCTTTGACAATTGCCAGGCAATGAACTTTGTAAAGAATTTCTTTTTTTTCTATTCTTCTAATTGGAAATCACTCATAATCTTTGGTATTTAGACCACCAAAAGATTTCCGCACCCCCCTTAATTTCCTCACACATGTTCGTACATAATATTTTTGAATAATGGGGTGATTTTTTCCGTGAACAATAATTCTTATTAGATGGGAAACATTTTAGGGGTTGTTTTTTTTATTTTCCAATTGGTTTGGATTATATTGAAGAGATGGTGGTCTTTCGGGGACCCTCTGAAATATCCACGAAGTATGTTTATTTAAGAGGGACTTAAAATTGGAGGCCAGATTTCAAATCTTTGACCCAAGTGATTTTTCTCATGGTGAATCATTCTAAAATCATTAACCTTAAATTCAAAATACAGTCGAAGTCGTTTATACCGACACTATTTATAACAACATATCGGTTATATCGAAAGTCCCGAGAAACTTTTTGCCTTTATTTTGATATCGTTTATAACTACATAACGCTTATAGACCGCTTTCGCCGGTCCCTTCAGCGTCGTTATGAGCGATTTCGACTGTATACATCTTCGTACTCAAAAAAAAAGAAACGAAGCCCATACACTTTTAAACTTGGCAAATTTATTAACCAAAATTAAATTTTCTTTTAATTTTAATTCAAAATGCTACGATTTCGTCCAATCAACACAAATTCAATAACATTTTTTAATTGAAGAGCAAAAAAAAACTAAAAAAACTTTAAAGTGTTGCAAGTACTCTGAGGCCACAGACAAACTAATAAATTTTCAAAAAGTCCTTCAAAACAAAAACAAATAAATAAACAATATTTGTTTATAAACATTTATGTGAAAATCCGAACAAAAACAATCATCAGTCTGGACGTGAACAACAAAAACAACAACAGCAATATTTTCAAATTGAAAATAATATCAAACGTTTGATAAAACAAAAAAACCCAAACCCAAACACCCACAACATCAATATCAAGAGCATGGAATTCAAATATTTTACCACCTGCACCATGAACAGCGTCCAAATTTATTCATCATGTATGTATATTTATTTGTGTATATTTACATATTTTCTTATTAAGTGGTAATTAAGTAAAAACCCCCATTTCTTAATTAACATAATAGCCGGCCAAAATGGGGTAGGAAATGAAAATTTAAGAAAATTATTTAAATTATTGCAATTATAATATTTGAAAAAAAGACAACTGATTGAAAATTTGGTTAAACACGTTCTTTCAAAAAGTAGAGAAAGGGGGAAGTATGCAGAGGAAATGAAAATTAGGGAAATTATTTTTACTGTTACAAGTTATATTACTTTAAATTGAATACGTGACCTCTGGGAGAAATTAGCTATAATAATGAAGCGATTATTCAAGTGAAAAAATTCCTCCCACGAACAAGATAATATGGATTAAGGATGTACTATTTAATTAGTATTTTTTATTGCGGGAAGGAGGAAATCAAAATTAAGAACTAATTTAAAATATTGGTATTAAAATATATTAAGTAAATTTTATGGAACTTGGATTTGAGTAGAAAATGGATATCTGAGTAGTGTTAATATTTTAAATTACGTGAGCTTAATTTGAATATATATTCTACATATTAAAGTTCATGCATGTTTAGGCTTAAAATAAGGGGCATGATTTACAATATTTAGACGGAAATATAGTGAAGTCATTATTGATTAGTTGGTTCAAAAAGGTAGATATTTAATATTATTCTGCATGAGGAGAGCTCCATCTATACGTTGTATTTTTTTAATCAAAAGAAAAAAAATAATACTTGGTGTATCGTAACAAATAAATAAACTTGGTTTATCATAAAATAAGTTGCACAAAAAATACATATTCCAGAACTTTATTTATCGGTTGATAACAATTCATATAAAAAAATAATTATTAATCGATTTTGCATTAGTCAGTAAAAGTCAAAAATCTATTTTGAACAGGTTCGACAAAATCGAAAGATCGAAAAGTCGACTTTTTGGTCAGAGGCAAAAATCGAAGAGTCTAAAAATTGACTTTTGCCCTCTTCTACGTATCCCTAGTTAATATTATTCACCATCTATACTTTGGTTTTTCAATAACTTTTAATAGTTTTAGCCTCAGTGCTGTCGTCCTTTTAGTTAACATTGCTCTGCATGAAAAGTGCTCCGTCTATACTACATGTTCTTCTTAACAATGTTTTCATATGCAGTGCATACTTTTGGGTATTAAAAGATTGTAATAAAAAATAATTATTTAAATCATTGCACGGAGCAAAATATCTGGACTTACGTTGCCGTAAATAAATGTACCTAATAATGCGTTTCCATTGTAACGGATTTATTGAATACAGTAGATCTACATTGTCAATTCCATTACACATATGTCAAATAAATCCTCATAGAGAAGGTTAACCCAGGGAATAAGTTCGAATGTATATGAAATGTAAGCCACGATAAATTGTCTATACATTTTTGAGTGAAGAGAGTTCCATCTACACTTCCAGTTTTTAATAATTTTTAGTAATTTTAGACATAGTAATGGTAGAGACATTATCATGTGACATACAGCGAGGATATTTGGTTTAATATACCCATTGATCCAGGTTATCGTGTACATTTGATATTGCTCTTCCTAAAAGAGTTCCATCAATACTAAACTTTTAGTTTAAGTAATATTTGCATTCACAAGGTATACTTTTGGGCATTAAAAGAAGAAAAAATATGATTATTCAAGTAGCATTCGAGGAAATTTAGTTTAAAATACCCATTGGTCCAGGTTATTGTATATAATTGATATTACTCTGCATATCTACACATAACTTTTATTTTTGAAATATTTTCATTCACAAGGTATACTTTTTGGCATTAAAAAAGTTTATAATAATTCAAATGGAATCTTATGAAAAATATCTGCGGGATACCTACATTCCTTGTCTAATTAAAAATGATCATTCGTAGACCTATATATACATATATATATATACTTGTAGTGTTGGCCCTTGTGATGGTGAAAATATCGAAAATGTCGCCCTGCGAGGAAGTTTGCTGAAAAATACACACTGATTTCATTAATTATCATATGTATGTGGTTTCAGATCATTGTATATACTAGATACTACTCTTTATAAATTTTGCTTTAACAGCTCCATCTATACATAATTTTTTTTAAGTAATGTTTTTATTCGCGTTGCATACTTTTGGGCATTTGAAGATGCCCATTTGGACAGATGCGTATTTGGACAGTCATTGACAGATTTGAAAATTATAATTAATATTGATGAATTTTAATTAATATACGTACCTAAGAGCTCCATACTTAATTTTCTTCAAAGTAATATTTTGATTCGTAGTGCATACCTTCCGGCATTAAAAGAATATATAAACATAGCTATTTAAATCATTGCAATGGGCAATATCTGAAGAATGCTTATATCATTAATAAATAGTTTAAAAACTATCATTATTATCGATAAATTATACTTTTTTGTTATAAAGAGAGCTCCATCTGCACTTCGTTTTAGTGAAGTCATCAAAAGTGGCATTTTGCGAGGAAATTTGCAGGATTTAGGAAACATTTGTTTGGGTGTTAAATTTTAAATTAAAGAAAGGCTTTGAAGTGGTCTCTTGTTATAAGAGCGAAGAGCGACATCTGCTAATTTCGAACGTTTTTATGTAGCAGTTTTTTGTGATAATAATGTACTATATTTCCTTGGGAATTATCTAAACAAACAAAAATAAGCTCTCCGCAACCTTAAATGTGTTCTTGACATAAAAAAGTTCGATAATTGGTCACTAACAAATCAACAATCAGCTGAAAGTGAGATCTTTGCAAGGTTCTGTGTCTAGTTAACGTCTTTAAAATAGCTTTATGCGGTAACAGCGCCATCTGTATTTCGATTTGTGCATTGCTCTTTATTTGCATTTTTAACCATAATTGTATGCTTTAGGCATTGCATAAATAACTGCCTTGAAAGGGGAAAATCCAATTCGAATCCGTAAATACAAAATTCAAAATAAATAGCTCAACATTTTTCTGAAAATATTCCCGAAACCAAGAATTGTGATCTTACAATCGTTTTCTTTCTTCTTAATTGAAAATAGTTCGTTATTTTGTTTATCTGTTAATTATGGTGAACAATATAGCCATTTATAATATAAAATATTGTAAGTGGCTAATAAATTCCAAGATAACTAACCAAGGCTGAAGTATGGATCTGAATCATAGGATATTTGAAATTGCTCTGTATGAAATCAGCGCCATCTGTGCTTCATTTTTTGCATTACCGTGGATTTATTTTTATTTATTTCTTAATATCAAATCAGTTCCGTGGTTACTGACAAAACTATAAAATTTCTGAACACGATTGAACCATAGATTCTGAGTCAGGATAAAGTTCTATGGACGAAATCAATTCCATCTGTATCTCAATTTTTACATTATTCCATTAAAGAGCATTATCATGGCCATTAATTATATTTTCCGATTTCACACAATTTTTCTAATGTCTGCATTCTTTCTATACAATAGTATTTTGAGGCATATGCAATTAACTCTAAACATATTCTAAGAAAATACAGCACAATTATCATAGTCTCCAAAATCGTCAAATGCCCTTAAATTTTGAAGAAAAATAAGTTTCCTGTGAAAGCATTTTCAAAATTCACTTTATTATTTTCGTGATATCGTGTCAGATAAATTATGAAAATGTTGATGGAAAATATTTGTGTGAGAACTTACACAGCGCCATCTGTACTTCAACTCAGTTTTATTTTTAGCTTTGTTTTTATGTGCAATGCCTACTTTTCGGCACTAAAATTTAATCAAATGACTGATTTCGAATTCGAGTGTGATTTCTCATCGTACTCTACACCTTTCTATGAAATCTAGGTTTATAAAATTACAGATCTATCCATGGCTGAACAAACCCCACTAGACCCCTGTAAATAACTACTATAAAATATAATCTAAAATAATTTTCCACAATAACTTACAAATGTTTATGACCTGGCTACAAATATAAATAACAACCCACGTAAAATTATTTTACATCTCAATCTGCCATTCATATGCATATCAAAATTCCAATTATTAGGTATTATATCAATTCCACACTTTTCTTCTTCCTTTTTTTCTGCTGTATTACATGTTATATGTACAGATGTACATTTCAAACCTATCCACACATCGGCGAAAAAAATCTCAAAACCTTTCACATTTCAATGTCAATTTGTTCGTTCACAGTTTCGTATTACATTTACATGATTTTCTCATTGTCGTCTTCTTTGCTACCAGCAAGATTCCAAACTCTCATATAGGATTTTTTGCTTCAACATTTTTTTCCGCACATAATGCGGTTGACATATAACAAAATTGCATGCAACATTGTTGCAGCATATTATGTCAATGTTGAAGCCGACAATATTGAATATTACAGAGCAAAAAATGTGAATTGTAGAGAGAAGCGTAGAAAATAAGAAAATACAATCTTGACAACACCAATAAGTGTCAATATTTGACGTCTGTTTGCTGAGAGATTGTGATAGTTTTGGATGGGGGTATTGAGCTAACGAAAATAGTAATTTTGTAAGGATTTCGAAATGTTATATGGAGAAAATTGAGTAGTTCGTTTGGTGGCTTTATGAGGATTTGAAGGAAATTTTGAAAAAAAATATATTATTGTGGATTTAAGAATATTAGTAGTTCTTAGTTACTTAGCTAGGTGGGGAAGTCAGAACTTATCACACTTGTAATAATGCAGCTTTTTGACAAAAGAAATATTTTTGAATTTTTCAACAGATAATTGAAAATTGTAACAGAAAATCGAAATTCAAATACGAAAAATCGGTATTGTGATTTCTTTTATGAGTAAAAATCTAATTTTAGAGGTCTCATTACAAAAATGAGACGAAAGTCGACCTACGTCTCACTATCTTGTAGTAAATCGAATGTCGATTGTAATTTTCCTTAATATTGCAATTGAAAATTCTTATTAAATTCCTTTCCTTGATCTTCATCCTTCTTCCCATTTAATTTTTTTTAAACAGTGTA